CAAACAATGTAGAAAGCATATAGACATGAAATAAATTTATTTCAATGTATTAGTGTAAATTCTGCGTAATGGAGGAATCTAAAAAAGAAACAAAAAAATATAATTCTAACCCATTTATGTAGTGATTTTCTAAGTGTAGATTAAATGTAGCACAAGGCCAAAAAGAATAGAGCGTGATAAGTTTGTTAACCATTACATCACATCAATGTGTGCCTGACCCATCTATGTACATAGAAAAAATTCTATGCTTTTAAGTTTATTTTTTCATTTATATATAGATAAATAGATATTTTTTTAAACAATAGATTTTTTTAATCCGACCTTAATTCTTATTGCTACAAAACATATTTAGCGAATTGAGTACCTTGTTTGAATAGGCATCCATGTTTTTTAAACTGTTAAATGAAGGTCTACCATCCAAATGATAGAAAGTGATTAAAGAGAATGTGTCTCCTGACAGTGAATCACACCTGTATCCCCTTTTTCTTTGCTGTGATGGCTTCCCATGACTCAAAGGTAAAGCACACTTGGCTTGAAAGTGGTTCCCTATATTAAAATACAGGTTTGATTCCTGTCAGGGGACATATTTTATTTAATTACTTTTCTATCACTAAGCCAGTACACATTTATTTAAATGTTTACAAGAACATGGATGTCTATTTAAACAAGATATTCAATCCACTAAATAATAAACATATATTTTTTTAAAGCAATTAATTGATTTTCTTTTTTTTTTTTATCTCAGGTGGGAGGCATTTAAAAAAAAAGTAAGATTTTCAATCTCTAGGCTGGTAGACATTAATTTCACTGTTTAATAAAAGACAAGGATGCTTGTTCAAAGATGTGTAGCCACTAAATATAACATTTATAGTCATAAGATAGAGATGTCTACTATCTGTAGGTGTGGAAATACTTATCTCTGTAGATATACTTAAATGTTCAGAATTAACTTTGTCATAGGAAATTGTTGTTTTGATCAAGTAATTAAGAAAAAAAAAGCTTTTGAAAAAGAGACTTAGGCTTGACTATCGTTTCCCGAGCACACGGTCCTGTAGGTAGACAATGACTAGAATATAACAGTTGACTAAAAATGGAAAAAGACTAATTAACTAAAATAATAATACAATCTCATCACAGTATTTTGGTAAGTACACATCAGGCTTCCTTGAGCAATTGGATTGAGATAATTGAACTATTTTAATACTACTTTAATATCTACCGATATTTGTAATTAGGTTGAATATAATTGCTTATTGATAGCGGACTTAAAACAATAATAGCTGGGGTTATGTTAAACAACTGAATTTTCTTTTAATTCAATTTCTGCCACTGTAATCATTGGCACTGTATATGTGTTTATCAATTTAATCAACTGTTTTATTCATGTTGATGACATCCTACAGGAATGTGGACCTGGTAAATATCATCCCCTGGGACCATGGACCTGGTAATTATCCTCCCTGAGACCATGGATCTGTTAAATGCCATCTCCCAGGATTGGGAACCTGGTAAATGCCATTTCCCAGGATTGGGGACCTGGTAAATGCCATCTCCCAGGATTGGGGACCTGGTAAATGCCGTCTCCCAGGATTGGGGACCTGGTAAATACCATCCCCCAGAAACTGTGGACCTGGTAAATGGTAGTCAAGTTGATACTTATTTCTTGATGTCAAATTCTTTTATGCATTATCACCAATAAAAAGACATTTTTTTCTGCTCCTTATGTGAAAACAGTTTAATGGGATGAAAAATGCCACTGCAAAATTGACTTCTGGGAAATCAAAGTTTAATATATAAAGAAAATAAGTGGAGAAGGTACTAAAAAAAAAAGAAACAATGAAAAAAGAAAACAAAAAAGAAACAATAATACACATCTAAGAAAAATAATAAATTTCCCACTTGAATTTAAGGAGGGGTAGTTTTTTTCAGTTTTAATTTCTTGAGTTATATGTTGAAAAGTTGATTAATTAATAAATATTAATTAATAATTAATAATATTAATTAATAAGAGAAAAGAAACATTGTGGTGAACAAGAATAATTAACAGATTTTAATATTAATTATTTTTATTATTTTTTTATTTTTTTTACTTTATTTTTTTGGGCAAAGATTATTAAAAACTGAATGCAAAGCACACCAAATATTTTAGGAAAAAGTAAATTGTCAGGAATGTACAATGTGAAACATTCACTAATCGTAGTCAGAAATCCCCCTCACTTGCAGATATAAAAAAAAAGAACAAATCAAAAAATGCAATTCAAAAATTGAGCAGTATTATTTTTTTCAGATTTGGCCAGAGAAAAAAGAAATAATGACCAGAAAATATTGGAAATTTAATAGAAAAACAAGAATGAAAAAAAATAAGGCAGGACAGGACCGGGACATATACAATCAATAAGAATCAGAAATTGTAGGTGAAGATCAAAATGGAGGTAATGTCTAGCCTTAGTAATTCTTGAGGCAGACATATTTAAATAAAAAAAATAAAAGTTTCATCAAGTGAGTAATGTGAGAAAAAGTCAAGAAATTACAGGACAGAAGCTTTACCATGTTCTTGGCAACAAATAACAGAATAATGAAAATATATAAAACATGGTATTTTGTTTAAAAGTCACTGTACAACCAAAATTTTGGATCAATTTTATAAGTAGACAAAAAAAATTTTTTAATCCCACCCCTCCAATTTTTTTTTTGACAACTCTTGTTTAGTTTTTGAGATAAACACGTTTCATTTTATTCATGTGTGTTTCTTATTAATAATCTTTGGGGTGAAAACACAGTAATACTTAAATTCTTCCACAAACAAGAATAGAAAAACATTAGGGGGGGGAAATTACTGTAAAAGATTTAAAATTAGAGAAACTGATTCTCGAAATAAAAAAAGAAGTGAGAAGTAAAAAAAAAAAAAAAAATGTTGAAAAATGTAATACCATCATTGCTTTTGGTATAACTTGCATCTTAGGACCAGTAGATGCAAACCATGATACACATTGGGGGCAGGACTTTCACATCGTTTACCTTTCACATAATAGTTATACAATAGTTATTTGGGATTTTATTTCATTTTATTAATCTGGAAAGTGCATCGGATAGAAAATGCGCTTGTAGAAATGCAAAAGAATTTTGAATTGAATAAAATCAACTAAAAAGTTTAAAAGTAAATTGACATAAAAGATTGAAAAATTGAGTGCATATTCTATGTTTAAAAATAATATCCACTTTAATGGAAGATATTCTCCAAATCCAGCAGTGATCTTATAAAAATAATTGCTATTCCTTAAGTATCTTGTTAGAAATTTATAGTTGAATTCTAAAAATTAAATAATTACTCTGAATCTGAACACATCTGACGGCTACAAGCTATGAAAAACAATGAGGAAGTATTTGAACAATTTCATATATATATATATATATATATATATATATATATATATGAATGAAGACAAAAGAAAAACTTCTTTACCAATGCATTTCATCCCCTGAAGGACTTTATCAAGGGAAATGTAAGTCCTTACATTTACCTTGATAAGGTAAGTAATGTAAGTCCTTACATTTACCTTGATATAATGCTTCAGGAGATGAAATGCATTTGTCAAGAAAAGTTTCACTTTTGTCTTTATTCATATTGTCTTTTACAGATATATTTTATTTATATCTGAATTTTTGCACAAACACACACACACACACACATATATATATATATATATATATTGACAGCAATAATCCATTCAAACATGATTTATTGAATTCAAATGACATGGGTCAAATTTAATTTTTCATTATATTTTTCCAGTTTATCTCAGTCAAATTCAAATAAAAATGTTTTATATATATATATATATATATATATATATATATATATATATATATATACACACACACACCAAATTATTTAAATATCGCTTTCAGCAGAAAACATGGATGATTTCTTTTTCTTTTTTTTTAATAAAAAGTTCGATTTAAAACTAACAGCAGTTTAATGTTATCCAGTTCTGAACTTTTAATGAATACTTAAAATATATGTAATGGAAAAAATATTTACCTATTGACTATCAATTTCTAAAATATTGATATTTATCTTAAATATTTATTTGTAAATTAGTCGAGACCATTCTACAATTATTACTAATGATTATTTAATATTATCTTTGTGTTCATAAAAGACAGCTTAATTTTTTTAATATACACAAATGATATGAACAGTCCCTTTCCCAGAAATTCTGATGGGACTCAAAATATATGGAACATTTTAAATTATTTGATGGTTAATTAAAGAAATAATCCTAAATTTTTATGACAAATTCAGTTGAAATTATTTCCCTGCTAATGAAATAATTTAAAGCCCAAAATAAAAAAAAGAAAATGTTGAACACATCATGTGAATTGAATTTGAAAGTAATTTTTAAGTTTTTTTTAAAATACCTTACATATTAAAAAAATAAAAATTGAGATAAAAATTACTTATATGTGTATATGTATGCATAGTAAAAATTAGTTGGTCAAGGGGAGGTAAGCAGATGGTCCAAACTATCATCCATGTTTGGGATGGTGATGGCAACGGTAATAAAAAAAATGGACTGGCACTGATGTCATTATCTGACCTGAGCTGAGAGAATAAAGAATAGTAAAAGAAAAAAATTATCGCAGATGGTAGATAGACGCAACCACTGCTGTTGGACCTGTGTTGTTGTTGGTGAGGTTCTTGCTCAGGCTACAACAGGAAGATGGATTTTATGGTAGCCAGCCTCTGTCTGGCAGAAAGGGAGACCACTGAAGTGGCCAGTGTGAGCACATGGTGGCACCACCATAGCAGCTGTGATGGCAGTATTATTATGAGTTAATTACTGCTGTTGCTGATTACAGCGTCTCATTGTCTTCAAATAGAGACGACAAATTCTGGATTAATATAGGAGAACCCAGTAAACTCGGTTTGATCTAGATTCATTATAAACAACTTGTCTGTAGGGGTCAACTTGGGCACTTCACTGGTGAATTCTCGATCAAAGTTGCTGACGTCTTTTCGAGATTTCTACAAAGAGAAAAAAAGGAATAAAAATAAAAAGTAGAAAAAAAATTAATCCAGTGTGTACGTTTAAAAAAAACAACAAAAAAACAAAAACAAAAAACAAACAAAAAAATCAAACAAACAATGTATCCTGAAAGAAATAGAACAAATTTCAGGTAAAAATGCAGAATAACATCTCCCTTCATCGCATATGAAATTAAGAATTACATTTTAAGATTAAAAACAGGTACATTTCATTGAATAATTTAAAATTAGGGCAGCAAACACATCTTGAAATTTTTTACTGAATAAATATTTCCAAATATATTCCATTGGCACCAGCCATAGGGTTGCTAGTTTAGAAATACAGGACTCTTTAAAATCTCTCTCTATTTTATATATATATATATATATATATATATATATATCAAAGTCTTGTCCAAATATTGCTTAATAGGTTATAATTGACATCTTTGATAATGGCTTATGTAAGCCGAAAGCTTAGATTGTATTAAAAAATATGGATCAATATTGTGAATTTCTTTCTTCGTTCAATGATAATGTTATTAAACTTATCAGACATTATGAAAAGAATTTACATAAAATAAATAGACAACACTTGTCTTTATTATTTAATGAAACGTATGAATATGAATATATATATATATATATATATATATATATATATATATATATGCCCATACATCCCGACCAATATTATTATATAAAAGGAGAGATATAAGTTAAAAGCAATGATTTTAATGTGTTATGAGGAAAATTGTTAAACTTTCCAAAGTTTATTTTCTTTTAGTTTTTTTTATTTGAGTATTTTCAACTGTTATTCTGGTTGTTATCAAGAATTACATGTTTAGCTTTTTGATGAAAATATATTTGGCTAATTCCAGTAGTCCCTAATTTGCTATATATTCTTCTCCAGCAAAAACTTGGAGACATTTTTGAGCTCTATCAAGCCTGGAAAGTATAGACTAGGTAGTTTCTGTCATATATCTTACTTATTATAAAACGCAGATTGTGTGTGTGTGTGTCTGTTCGTTTATATATATGGGATCATATTTCCTACATTTTTCAACCGATTTCAAAACTTCACAGGACTACCTAAAATTACCTGGCGGTGGTTCTGACAGCACCAAAAATTGGAAAAACACAATTGTTTTTGCACAAAATCAATTTGAAAGCACGGGTAATGGTATTGCACCCGGCCGGAAGTGACTCAAACGTCCAAATGCCATTAACTTCCAGTGACTCAGTGTTTTTTGTCAGAGAACGATACACAAAAAGTAAAACAAATGAAACATAAACATACACAAGTCCTCCTAACTAAAAATAATAACTGGAAACTACTTTAAATACACATGGTGTTCAAATGAAACCCATATGTACAGTCAAAATGTGGAAGTTAATTTTTAGTCATCAACCAAAAGATATTGCCAACCGGCTACGATGCTAATGAAGCCAAGATAAACACAGCAGATTTCTTCTACCAAGCAACTAGGCTCCGGGCTAAGTGAGAGTCTAACTCTCTGCTTTCGGGCGGAGAGGAACCCGGATGAGGCTCTGCTGAAAGGCAGAGTCTCGTTCGGGGTGGTTGACTGCCCCTGAACCCGTTTATGCGGGTTCAAAGAGGGAATATTTTTGGCCGAGCCTACAGGCTCGGAAATCCCACGTTAAACCCAGCCTTGTGCCACATATAACCCTCGTGGGAGGTGTAGCTAAATATCACTTGGTTCCGGGGTAGAGTGACATGATCCCCCTCTCACCTTCACCTGGCCGACCCTTGTATGTATATATATATATATATATATATATATATATATATATATAGGTATGTATGAAAACTTTTTTGAGTTGTGCTACTGATGTTGAATATTACGTATATTCACTTTATATATATATATATATATATAAAATAAATGTGGATAATAATACTAAAATAATATTTTGAAAAATGTAAAAAAGGGGGTGCAATTGAGTTAAAGAAAAATGTTTTTTTTTAAATTGCAAGTTTTTATATAAAATATAAATTTAATAATATATACAATATAAATAATAATTCTAATATATAATCTTTTTATATACAATTTTAGAAATAAAACATGTTAAAGAATATAAATATGTATAAAATATAGAACAGAACTTAGATAACAAAAAAGGGGACAGCTTCACAAAGAGAAATCTAGAAGGTTCATTAGCATGACTTTATAAGCAGAATTCATTTGACTTTTCAAAAAAACATAGAGAAAACCTACTTGTATCTCATGGAAACATTGAAAAATATTTGTTTTGTACCAATTTTAAAAAAATGGATTATTTACATGTGTGTATAAATATAGAAATTTGCATATATGGATATTTATAACAGAACTATAATCTATAAAGAGTATTAAAATTAGAACTCAGTAAATATATGTGCAAAAATTATTTTCCAAAATTTTACCCTTACATGTCCCAAAAGAGTAACTAAAATCAGAGAAAAAACATTTCTGAAATAAAAAAGAGAATGTTAACATTTCAGACAACATTGTGTGCCAAATAATATTTATTGATTTAAATCAGAATCCATGGGTGTAAATAAATATAATTCTTCAGCCAAAATGTTGAAAATCAGGAATTTTGAATTTAAAAATATTTCGACAGAAATTAAAAAAAAAAAAAAAAAAAAAAAAATGGCATAAGGCAAAAGCCGGCCATTTTGTCAATAGTTTGTTTCATCAACAAGTTTTGATTTTGTAATTAGAATAATGCTTGTATAAATTAACTGAATTTATACATTTGTCTGTATTGAAAAGGAAAATGACAAAAGTAAGCAAGTAAGGTTCGCACACAAGTTGTGAAAAAAAAACAAGATGTGTAAAACAATCTAGTTTAATAAAAAGAACAGAGATGCTTTCATAGCAAAGACTTGATATATGAAATAAAAGAACTGAATCATCAAAACAGATTTAAGTTGGTATAATTAGTGAGGTCCAATATCTAGACTAATGAAGGCAAAGATGGAAAAACAATTCAGATCAAAGAGGAAAAAGAACAATTTAATAAAAGACAGAAATTAGAATGAATTCATTCAGAAATAAGACAACAAAATACCTACCATTTATGATGACATAAAAACAAAAAAACAAAATACTCCAAAATCTTGGGACTTAGATGTTGAGTTACCAAACCAAACTCCATAATACTCTAATATTAAATGAAATTAAGGAAGCCTTATATATGAAATTTAGGTATCTGGTAGGCCAATGTTTGCTCAGATGCCATAGACTATCAGTACTTGTACCAATCTTAACTCTATAATACTGCAATATTAAGTATGAATTAGGAAGCCTTATATGTGAAATTTAGGTATCTGGTTGGTCATCTTTTACTCAGATGCTATAGATTACCAGTACTTGTACCTAGCATCATTGCATAATATTGTATTAATTCATCGATTGTTTTTTAACAAGTTATTTAAAGCCAGAAAATATTTATAGGTTGTAAGAATTCTTTGGAGATAATAATGGCTTACTTTAGTGATACAAGTTTTACTAATTAACGCATAGCTGGAGGGAGAACAGGTGGATTCATACCTTTCCTTAGATATGAATCCACACGAATATAACAAACATGACTGGAATTGGAACTCGGTTCTTTGATATCCAATTCCGAGCTGTTATCATTTACACCATCTGCAGACTCAAGCTTACAGCACCTGGCATTCCAATGTGGTCACCCATCTAGGTACTGACCAGCTTCTATGTTGCTTAAAATTTGGTAATCATACGAGAACCAGTGTTTCAACATGACATGGCCATAAGCTTCCATGATATTGTAATATTAAATGTAAATAAGGAAGTCTTAATTATGAAATTGAGGTATCTGGTAGGCTAATGTTTACCTAGACACCATTGATTATAAATACTTGTATCTCAGCTAATTGGATAACACTCTAATATGAAATATAAAATTGTAAAGACTAATATGTGATGTTGAGTTATTTGGTAGGCTAACATTTGCCCAGATGCTGCAGAGTACAAATACTTGTCTGAAGACTAATTAAATAATATTGTAATAGTAAATGTAAATTTGTGGAGTTATTATGTCATCAAATGCAGTAATGCCCCATATTTCAAAACAGTTCAAGTGAGGGAAAATGTTAAACTTTAAATACATGAAAAAATGTTACTGTGAATTGCAGAAAACAAATTTATTTTGGATGAAAGCAAATTATTTCATCAACAGGTGAGAAAAGACTTCTGAAAAAAAATAATTGAAAATTACAACCACAGGTGGGAGTTTAAAATTTTTTCTAATAAATTTAAATCTTTCTGATTTCATTGGACTAACAACAAGAACAACATGATAATGAAAACACCAGAAGATTTCCATTCCTCATTTGTTAAACTGATAAAAATTTAATTCGTATTTTTTGACGAGATTTTAAGTTTTGTAAAAAATAAATAAATTATAGTTATTATTTTAAAATTTGCCAGTTGAATTAACAAAGTTGCTTGTCAAAAATCCGAAAGAACTTTTAATGATGTACTTATGGAAATAAAAACAAAGATGTGGTGAAGAAATAGAAGAACGACAAAGAGCAGTAGGAATTTGAAAATACATGACAGTTTCCAAAGACGAATAAGAAACATGCAAGATAAATAAAATGTGATCTTTCAGAGGCAAAGTGTGCAAATAAAATGAAAGTATACCTTGAATCCATCATATCCATTCATATTTTATCCAAAGACATTTTTTTTTTTACTAATACAAGGCCCAAGAGCTACTCAAGGTAGAGGGTCACTGTGTGGAGTTGTATTAGCATAAGGTAAGAAGTGAAGTTCTTGGGGCTATGCAGGAAAGACAATGGTTAACTCTAGACTTGAAGTTGACAAGATTTAATTAGTGAATGACGTTTCAGACTTCAGTCGGAGACATTAAAAGTATAGTGTGGAAGTAGACTTTAGAAGGAGCCAGAAACCCAATCCTAAATAGGAAACAAGGAACAAGGGATAAACCTCTACTCCTGT